TTTTTTTATTTTTCTCTCACAATGTATGTATTGAAACTTTTTAGTTTAGGTTATCATTTGGTGTCTTCTGATGCCACAAGTCCTTTTGGTGCTTTTTTGTGATATCCTACCTTTGTGTAAAAATAAATTTCAGTTCAGTTCAGTTCAGTTCAGTTCAGGTGAAGCAGAAGCACTGACAGTGTATCGAAAAATAACTTTAGCAACTTTACCTTCATCTACCTCTCTTGCACTCTCGCGTGATCTTTTTCGCAAATCTGCACGATTAGTGGTAGCTGAGAACAAGTGGCTGCCTCGAAGCAGAAAGTAGGATCTAGAAGAAAGACGAAAGAACTAGATGACACCTGCCCTACAGGCAGATTGGAAACCCGACCGAGTGAAGCGTACGTTAGAAACACTTTAGACACCGTTTGAATCCTTTAAATACGATTAGAACACTGCAGTGCTGTAGTAGGAAACATATGATGTATTCTATCAGTAGTAATGTTTCAAACTAAAAATCTATCATACTACATAGAAGCATAGACTGATAAATAGCACGTGACTACCTAGTGAATCACTCTACACTATTCATAGTGAATGTACATGAAGTGTCACATAACAATTAATTATCTCATAGAAAAGGTATTGAAAATATGCTCAACTTTTGAGACTCATTACTTAATAATTAAACCATATATCGAAAAAATACCTTCAGTTCTGTCATCTACAGCTGCTGTACTTTTCAATCATCTTTTTACCAAATCTGTACGATCTGGGATGGCTGAGAACGAGTGGCTGACTAAAAGGAAGAAGTGGGTCTAGAAGAAAGAAGAAAGAAAGAAGAATTTTTTGTAGTGGAACAGAATAAGCCTCTCCGAGTTACACTTGGTCGGCTTATTTCTATCTTAGAAGAAACGACAAAGTTTTCTAAAAAATATACTCATTTTGTAACATTAATTACACGATCAGAGGTAACCGAGAACGAGTGTCTGACTCGAACACGAAAAGACAGTGTCGAAAGAAAGAAAGAACTAGATGCCACCTATGCTGCGCATAGATTAAAAGTCGATTGAGTGAACCGCAAACAGACGAAATTAGAAGATTCAAAAACTCAAAATAGTTTGACTACTTTTCAAGAAGAATTCCTATATTCCTATATCAGCTGATTCATTATCGTGTCATATGTTCTACTATTGTATAGCTTTCATGATATACAGTACTGTAGTATATATATATTCACTATGAAGTGAATATACACAATTTATTATCTCATACATACACAATTCATATATAAACAAATGCATACCTACACAATTAATTATCTCATACCAGAAACGATAGAGTTTTCTAAAACATACACTCATTTTGTGACACTGAATATACGATCACTAAAGCAAATATTCCAAAAGAAATTAAATGTGTCATCTTCCACTTCTCTACTTTCAAATCATCTTTTACCGAACTCTATACGATCAGAGGTAACCGAGAACTAGTGTCTCACTCGAACGCGAAAACACAGTGTGGAAAGAAAGAACTACACGCCAACTATGCTGCGCATAGATTGAAAAGTCGACTGAATGAAACAGTAAATAGACGCAATTAGAAGGTTCAGAAACTCAAAACAGTCTGACTACTTTTCAAGAAGAATTCCTATATTTCTATCTCAGCTGATTCATTATCGTGTCATATGTTCTAATATAGTATAGCTTACATCATATCCAGTGCTGTAGCATATATTCACTATGAAGTGAATCACGTGACAATTAATTATCTCATGGCAGAAACGATAGAGTTGTGTAAAAAATATATTCATTTTGTGACACTAATTATACGATAACTGACAGTCTCCTTGAGTTTCACTCAGTCAACTTGAAGAAAGAAGAATTTTGCTAGGCAACGCTCGAAACTAAACAGAATAAGTCTCCCTATCGTTTCACTTAGTCGACTTAGTAAGTAGTTCCAAGAGAAAAACTGCGGAAAGAAGTTAGCATTGTCCACATGTGTGAATATGTAATGTATAAGTATCGTATTCATTAATGAGCCCTATTCCTCTGATGAATATGATCATGACTTATTACTAAAATGGAGAAATGAAGAGCATGGTTTTAGGATATAGAATTAGTTTTGACCCTGTATTATCTGGATTATATGTCAGCATTCAGGCACTATACGGGACTTCCTGACACATATCCATTTTCTCTTATTGAGATTTAGTAACCTTAAAACTAAATAGAAGCATAAGTTTCGATCACACTGATATACTCATTCTCATTTTATTTTTTATGTGAATTCCAATATAGTCTAATGTATTCGAAAAATAGATGAAATACAGAGATAGTAAAACATTTAGTATTTAAAATGGTATATACAAAAACTGCCGGGTTCTGATTTTCTACTTTTGGCTCTAGTATTCCTGGTCTAGATATCGATTGTGCTTCTTAGGTGTTATAACAGTCACCACTTACATTTGGATAGTTAGGAAAGACGCTAACGGCGCTATTAATGCCATTGTTCAAACTTAAGTATTAAATGTTCATTTGGTATGAATGTTTATAATAATAAAACCTTCTAGGTATTAACTATACAATTTGTCCTTCAAATTATACATCTCTGTTTAAATCTGTAATATTTAGAAACTTGAACAATTTATTTGTTGATATTTATGTCTCATATATTGTTTAATATTCGCTCATTCATATCGTAGGATCAAATTTCTTCATCTCAAATTAAAGAATAAAAGTGAAAATCAAATATCATTGTTGTTTTTATTATTATGATTATTATTATTCTTAAGGTCTTTTTTCTTCCGCTCTCTGTAAAAAATACCGCTACCCTTCGTTATTACTACAATATGTATAATAATCATATCATTTATTCATTTTTGCTAGACATTTTTTTTTCTTTGTTCATTATCAATAGCGTGATCTTATCGTCGAGACAAAATCTACAGATAAATTGACCTTATTTTTTAAATATTTATCATTATTTTTTGTAGTCGCACACTTTTGAATTTCCAATTAAAATAAAGTTAGATATTTTAAATATAATCGACTTTATTACATATTCAAGTAAGTTCATATTTACGTTGATCCATCCAATCACGTTCAAAAAGTTTCTTTTTTCTATCATTTACAGTACATCAACTAGAATGTCTTATTACAAAATCATAATTATACTAATTAATCATTTTTACTTCAATATTGTTTACAGTCAAGGTATAATGTTCTAAAAATTTTCCATTATCTTGCTTATACTACATTAACTAATACATTTGGATAGCATTCTCTTTTTCAAGAATAACTCATTTTCATGTACATTTTGATTTTAATTTGTTAAAATATATAAATAGATCTTTGTAAACAAATGAATTGTGGATCTGGTCAATGTATATTAACCAACAATCCCACTTTACCATATTATTGTCGTTGTTTAAATGGTACAAATACCATCTTCCCATGTCCACCAGAAAGTAAGAAATACTTTGAAAATGTTAATAATTTCAAAAACAATTTTATTCTATCAATTAGATCCATGCGCAAGAAATCCTTGTGGAAGTGGCACTTGTGATTTGGTTCCCAGTCTGGCGAAAGGCTATTTATGTAGATGTGCTGGTAATGCAATATCATTGACCAATTGTAGTAGTAAGCATGTTTACTTCATTCTTTATTGATGTTCTGTTGAACAAGTGAAAAAAATTTCAATCATATCAACTACGAACAGTTAGTATATTAAATCTTCTTTAATTATCCTACATATCTTGAACTAATGATATTGTCATGTTGTTTTTTTATATTAAATTGTTTTAAGGATACCGTTAATAACTTTTTTTTTAATGAATATTGTTAGGTTTTTCAGCCACAAGAAGTGTATGTAGCTCGAATCCATGTTATAATGGAGCATGTGTAGATAATTTCGGTGGATTTGTCTGCAATTGTCTTCCAAATTGGACGGGAAAAATGTGTGATAGTATGTTGAATTTTGAACAAGAGATTTTATATGATTATATATTATCAATTATCTGTATAGATAAAATTACAACAGGTTGTGCTGGTAGACCATGCGGTTTAGGAAAATGTTACACACTGAGTGACACTTCCCTTCCTTTCGTTTGTTTATGTCCTGATGGTCAATTTAGTACGACGTGCGGTATGTACTTATATGTGATGACAATTTTGTTCAAGCGGTAATGTATTTGCTACTATTTAGACGTCTATTCTGTCAATACTTCAACTTCAATCACTACAACAACACCGGCAGCAAATAGATGCAATCCTCTCGCGTTAACGCCCTGTACGAATGGAGGCAGCTGCCTATTTAGTAGTTCGCTCTATCGATGTGTTTGTGCGCCAGGATTTACTGGTAGTTTTTGCGAATTAAGTCAGTACATGAAACATTATTTGTCACTTTATCTGAAAGCATTTCTTTCTAGAGATTAATAAATGTGACTCAAATCCCTGTCTCTATGGGGGAATCTGTTATGATCTTCAAGCATCATATGTTTGCTTTTGCCCAGATCAGAGATTTCGAACACAATGTCTATCATCATCAAGTAAAAATTGAATTAAATCGGGTATTTTGTCAGGATTATTAATTTTTTTGTTCTCTTTTTTTTTTGTTTGTTAAGTAACGACGAATACGGAAAGCTCGTTAACGTGCCCTTGTAAAAATGGAGGCGTCTGTGTTTTTCCAAATTCTCAACAGTGTGTTTGTCCTAGTGCATTTACCGGACAATATTGTGAAGAATTAATTCGTAAGTTAAAAATTTTATTTTTCAATTCTACTTTGAGTTAAAAACATATTTCTTAATTAAGAAACAAAATTATGTAATAATATTGTATGTCGCAATGGTGGAGTATGTAATATACTTGCTAAAAATTACACTCAATGTTTATGTATACTGGGATTCCACGGTGACTATTGTGAAAGAGCAGCGGGTTGGTGAAACAGGTCGAAATAACTCATATTATAAAGCTTCTACGCTATCATCTATCACAAACGCAATAGAAACGCTTCGCTTTTGCTAATCGCTCAGTTTTAAAGTTTCGATAAAAATACTAATTTTATATTTGTTCAAGCTGCCGGAGGATGTAATCAAATCTCGTGTATGAACGGTGGCACATGTTATGAAAATTCTCCTGGTGTATCAGTGTTCGCTTATTGTTTATGCCAGACTGGTTATACTGGAAAATTGTGTGAAACAGGTAAAAAAAAGACGGTATAACATATATGATGGTACAAATCGATTTATTTTCAGAATATTTTCGATGCAGATCAAATGGAAGATTTGCTGATGGTTATAACTGTGCGCATGGAAAATATTTCGAATGTATTCAATACCTTCAAGGTAAAGATCAAGTACTATCTTTAATTATACAGGACAGTAGCTTTTTTTCATCATATTAGCCCCAAATTCCAATGGTATTTTATTGAGTCGAAGTTGTCCAGCTAGTCTACGATATAATTTTATGATAGGTCGATGTGATTATGCTCAAAATGTTCAATGTTTATTGGCATAAACAATATCCTATAGAACTTTTTGAACAATTGTATATATAAGTGAAATATATTACTTGTATGTTTTAAATATTTTATCATTTTCTAAGAAAATATCCCATTAAATAGATATTATTTTCTTAAATGTGATTTGACAGCGTTTTCTTACGTGTTGTACAATATTACGTGATTTCTATAACAATAAATTCAAATAAAGTTATTTCAAACTAACCCTGTTAAAATGAAGTTCTCGAGCGACTGATATGCATTAAGAACGAAATTTTACTTTTAACTCTAACATGTATATGTATTATTTGTTGAAGATTTTGTCTAAGTTTACTGAATGATTGTCATTTTCTTTCTTAAAATATAGATATTTGACATAATTTAGGTTTTTATTATAAGAAAATATTTTTTTCTATTGTACTATACGAAAATACAGATAAAAGTATAATGGAGAAAAAAATGAATAGTAATCGAAAACCGGATGTATTTAAATAAAGTTTGTTTCGAATAATATGATGCAATAAATAATAAAGAATCCAGATAACAGAAATTCATCAGAAAAAAAACACAGATATATGTGATCGTTGGACAGATGTTAAAATAATCTGATATATACTAATTCTTGACTACAATAGTAATAATAAGTAGATATTAACAAAATATTCAAAGTTCACTCGCATAGTATACATTTATTAGCTATCTCATCGCTAAAGAAGAGACTGCTGAACATGCCTTATGTCTGACAGTAGATACATTTGTTTCACCTTGCAATTTTTTGATGATAAATATAATTAATAGATTGCCAGGATGACACAATTCGATTATTGGGCAATTTAACATCATCGTTTAGGTAAGAATAATGGAGCCAGAAGGTATCGTACAATAAAGCTTCGACCGTTATAGACATATTCAAAAACTAGAAGAAGCAAATTATTATGATATGTGAAAATTTTGACTAACACGGTAGAATTTGACACATGTTACTTTACTAAATGAACTTTAATATGATGTGATCTGTAGTAAAAAATACTTTTCGTCCATGTTTTCTGTAATACTTTTAATCTGGTTCGATATTGGCAATAGCACTGCCATATACATCAAACTGTAAATTTTATTAGACTGCTTTATTTTTATCAGCAGTGGTTGGTCAAACTTCAGACTATGTGACACTTTACTTATGCAATGGTAAGATCATGATAAGAGCAGTATTCCTATAGGATCTTTTTTTCCCTATTTATAGCGTTATAACGCTATAAAACATGTTTTTTTTTAAATTATGGTATTACAACGCTATAGATTTATCTCATTACAACGCGATAGACGTAGCCCGTCGTGTTATAACGCATTATAAAGTTATTTTTCAGGAATTTATGGCGTTATAACTGGACACAAATTTTCATTGCATTACAACTCTATAAATTTATAGCATTATAATGCGTTTCAATTTTTTATCTCGTTATAACGCGATTAGATTTGTCTACCGCCTTATAATACGTTAGATTCTAATGTATTATAACGCGTTTGAGTTTTTTACTTCAATATAATGCATTATAATACTTCAGATGTTTTATCTAATTATAATGCCATAAATTTGGAAAAATCTTCTATTGCGTTATAACTCATCAGATAATGCATATCGTATTGTAACAAGTTAATATCTAATATATTACAATGCATTATTCTTTTCTATCTCATTGCCATGAGATGAGAAAACGGAACTCGGTGTAACACAATAGATGTTAATGCGTTATAACGAGTAAGACAATATCCAAAGCGAAAACACATGGTTTTCTCGTAAAGACCACATTTCCGTAAAATTCTGAGACTGCCAATCGATTCCTTTCGAAAAGTTGATCCGGGAAAAATTACTTCAACTATATGGGATATATACGTTACTGACTTGAGACTTAGGACATAAACTCTCATAGCATACTTATTACCACTGTCACATATAGCGCTACAGCGCCTGAACAGTTAATGCATTGTAATGCGACAGGAATTAGGAAACGCCCTGTAACGGCATACAAATTACTAACGCGGTAATCGAATTTATAGCGTTGTAACATTCTAAAATATGCGAAAGTCGTTGATAAAAGTGCATTATAACACTATAATTTCAATTTTTAGGCAGATTTTTCCCCGTAACGCGTTACCCTAATGGTTACAATGCATTAAAGACATGTGTTTTCTAAATTCATCAGGTTATAACACAATAGAAAAGCTAACACATTACAAGGCATTACGATATGCCTAACGCATTACAATGCAATAAATACGAAAAAAAGATCCTGTGGATTTAATCTAATGTCGGATACTTTAGATAAAATTTAGAACAAATAATGTTGTTGTGGTCGGTTTAAGTCTCCTGTTCGAAATATGTGAGGATAATTTCTCACAAGGACCAATAAAATAGTGGGGATACTTGTTTTTGTGAAGTAGTCAAACAGACGTGTTCCTACAAGTCAATGCTAATAATACAAATGTTATAACTCTCTAGAGCGCAACTATGGAGCTCTGAATTCAGTTAAAGCTAAGTCAGACAAACATACTCTCGACTAGTGTCGAATCGTTGAACGATGATCTCAACATAACTGCTTTTTTACAACAAATGTATCAGTGGTTTATTTAAATAATTTTTGCGCTTAAAATAACGTTCACCGTACGACTGGTTATCCGATATCTCAAGATTGAGTCTCATAATGCTAGCGGTATACAACGAACGATATTGAGTGGTGAGTTATGTTCAGCTTTATTTCATATCGTTTGTTTCTTCTCTTCATATAGGTACTGTGTCACTATCGTTAGCTCAAAACCAGTAAAGAAATGAACATCTGCGATCGAACGAAAATGATCAAGTCAACGAAAACTGACATTAGATAATTCATGGCATAGCCTGTCAACTTTACTAATCAGCTAAAAGCTGTTTAAAGACTATATGTTAATCGTCAACATTTTTTTGTCCATTATTTCACAGTCATGGCCTAAAAATAGGCATTTAACTCTATGCAGTTGAAACTGAAATTCACATCAGCCATTAACTGCCGGCTAGTATGTCATTTACGAACAGTCAATATATCTGAAAACAACTAGCGTTTAATGTTGGTAGTTAAATGATAATTTTTATCCATTTGTCAACAGATCGTTCACTCTTTTGTGTCGCTATTATGATTAATACAGATTTGTCTTTGATTCTTTTGAAAAAACTTAAAATTTTTCTCTTCGATTATATAACTCATCAAAACTTGTCTCGAAGAGGTAGCCTTTAGTTCTCGAACTAATATCAGTGACGGTACCATGATCTAGAGAACCAAAAATATTGAAAACTTTTGAATTCATTCTTTATGAAGTTATCAGTCAGACAGAGACCGCCTTCAGAAAAAATTCGAAAAATAGATCGCTAAATGGTCTATGACGGCCTCAAAACGGACATCGTCATCAAATGCTAATTTTTGAATAGTAATAAAACTGTCACGCCACTTTTAGGCATTACAAACGTTTTTTAGATTAAATGCCTAAAAAAGTCTTTTCTCCAAACATTTAACAAACATTGGATGAGCTATTAATGGGTATTTAATAAAACAATTAATTATACTGTATTCCACGATTTGGAGATAACAGATCTCAATAGTTGTCAAACGTCACGCGAATGATATTTTATTTTTTCTATAGGTCTTTATGCTGGTCTGGATTGTGATGCATACAAACATTAGAGCGATGAAGCATGTCCAAACCACAGAAGATTAAAAAATGCTGTTCTTGAAATATCTCCAGAAGCACGAAATTAAATACAAAGTTCAATTTACAACCCGTTCAAAAAAGATTCTAAATTGATTGTTTATCGAATACAGTTTCATTTTAGGCACGGTCCAACTCCGAAAAGTAAATTTAACTTCGAACACAAACATTTATCTGATAAAATAGACACGACATCATTCACCGAATAAACTTGAGACGATTATCATACAAACAAGAAAGAAGCTTAAAAAAGGGCAAAACAGTAGATATTACCTGGTTTTTGTATATTAGTAAATATTTAATTGGAATCTTTGTCCCATTTACTACGGTTGAGAGTTACGAAAAAAAGACCATTCCTCGGTTTTAAAGTGATGGCTCTTTCGACAAATCAAATAGCAGAATAGAACAAAACAAGTTATTCAATATGACGAATCTAGGGATGATAATTATTATGTAAATCATCAAGTACTACCATGTCAAATCAAAATATAAAGTCAAATATTGGAAATCTCTTCCTGTAAAATTACTATAGTAACCTAAAAAGTTGTTTTACTTTCAAGCAGTCATCCATTATTCTATATACCATCCTTATTTAAGTTAATCAGAAAATTTAATCAATTTTTTTATTCAAATGAGTACAAACACGTACCTTGCAAAAACGAGTAAACGAATAAACAACAACAACAACAACAACAACAAAAGGTATTCCGAAAGAGGCAACAGTCAGCGTTTTATTTTTTATACTTAAACAGCCGATAAAATGTGAAAACTATTTATCCTAATAAGATAAATACCGTGTCATAATCATGAAAATAAGATTATTTGCTATTGTCGATGTTGTTTCTTCCTCTATGGAAAGAAAAAGAATAAAAATGTAACAAGTGTTGAATGGAAGGAAATCTATTTTACGAAACAACAACAATAAAAATCAAACCAAACAAAAAAAAAGAGAAAAAGAGATGATATAGAAAGTTACGAAACAGGTACACACACACGCATCACACACACTCACACACACATGTATATGATGTGTTTTTGTACAATGCGCTTCATGAAATAAGCGCAACACATAGATGAATAAACAGATGAAGATGCAGAGATAGATAATAGAAAATAACTCATACTACACGTACAGATATTTTTCGATGTAAAAAAGATGAATTATCCAATTCTTTTAAAGCTTGTTGAACGTCATCACGATTTGTTAATGCTACAACAGCATGTCCGGTCGGTTTTCCAGATGAATCACGATGAATCTAAAAATACACAAAGATCAGTTTTGTTTTGTAATAAGAAATATGTTCCTAGCATACCTTTAACGTCTCTTCAATTGGACGATATACTCTTAAAAGTTGTAAGATTTCTTCTCTTGTTGCACGAAAATGGACATTTGACATTAATAATACCTGTCCACGGTATTGATCATAGCATGCTGGTAATTGAGTTAATTGTTTGGCTATTGGTGAACGGTTATCTTGAAGATTGTTAACTAGAGAAAACGAGAATATAAGTACATAGCATATGAAGGAAGAAAACACCTTTTTACCATTGTTTATTCTTAATATTTTTCCTTGTTGATCGTCTGATGAAGGTGACTTATCATTAGGTAATTCATTTGTTGAATCGATGAGAGATAGTGCTGTTGATGGTGCAGTGTGGTTATTATTCTCATATTGCTGTCGACGATCAATGTATTGTCTTGGTCGTTGTTGTGAATAATCATTTATAGGAGATTTCATATGTTCATCATTTTTATTATCATCCCTATCGTGAAGTTTACGTTTTCCAGGAAAATTATTTTGTTGATTTATTTCCATAGATGATGATTTATTGTTATTATAATTTTGATTAAAATTTGTCACACGTCCTAAACCACCGCTGGATGAAAATGTTGCACCGGTTTCATCTGGTTCATCTTTATTTGCTGATTGAAATTCCCATAAGGATAATGCTCGCAATTCAAGTACACGACCACCAAACTGTAAACGATTTTTTTCATATGCCTTTCGACAATCGTTACTTGATGAAAATCGAACATAACATTCACCAGCTGGACGACCACTTTTATCATATTTAAACTGAATACCATCTTGAGCGATATCCATTCCTTGAAAGAAAGTTCTTACATCATTCTCACGTGTAGCATAGGGAATATTTCTCATTCTCAAACAACATATCGTTGGTGGTAATTCTTCATTGTATCTTGGACGGCGTGGATATGATGAGGCGTTGGTATTGCCATTTGTTCCATCGTCATCATCTTGATTCATACGTGTCTGATAATTTCTGCCAGCACCACCACTACGTATATCATGATCACGCGAACGTGAACGACTACGAGAACGTCGTAAACGACCGTCATCATTTACACCACGACCACGACGTTCTTTTGGTTTTAACGCGTTAATTTCCATTTCCATTTCTTTTTTCGATATACGTTGAATATCAAATCTAGAGTTACCTAACACAAAACAAAATTATATTGTATAGTTTTTGTTAAAGCTTCAAAAAATCAGTGGTTACCAGAATGTTCATCGTGATAAAATAAAGCTTTCTCTAAATCAACTTCGCTAAGAAATTCGATAAAGGCTGGTCCACATATCATTCCGTCTGTGTCTAAATCTAAATAGATTCCACGATCAGGAATAATTTCTGATGCAGTAAATAATTTTCTTATATCACGTTTATACCATTTGTTTGGAATGCCTAAAATGATAGAATATATTTTAAATTAATTTTAATAAATGTATCGAAATACACGTACCTAATACTTTGACACAATATCCGCCTTCTGGTTGGCGTTTTTTCACTGATGTTGGTATAAATGAATCTAGAGACGAAGCAAATTCATATTCTGTTGCCGGTATAATCTGTACATTTTGTCCACCATAATAAACGTAATTAAATTGTGACAATGCTTCTTCAGCATCGTCAATTGAACGAAATTGAACAACAGCTTCACCTGTTCGTTCACCGTGTTGATCATTAATCATTTTAATATCTTCTAAACGTAATTTATAATCGGAAAATAATAATTTAACATCACGATATGAATATTTTTTTGATAAATTTTTTACTCTCAAATAGGGTTCACGTATTTTTTGTCGAGAATTTATAGATGTTAATGTACGCGATGCAGCGGTTGTATACTGTTGAGGATAATTTGAATGATTATTATTATTATAGTCATTTAATGTTCTCATATTGTCATTGGATGTCGATTTAGTAATCTGATTAGGATTACTTAACAATGTACGCTGTTGACTCTGATGTATGGATTGACTATTATGATTATGATCATTCGAGATAAAACCGGATGTTTGCATTGCTGCTGGTGTATTTTGAATAAGCGACGGAGGTATATGATGTGGTGTTGATGTTTGTAGCCACGGTGGAAGTAGAAAGTTAGGTGGTAGTGTGCCAGGTCCAGCAGACATGAGTGCATTCAATGCTCCAGGTGGCAGCTGAGGAAGTGCGCCAGGAGTTAAAAATGACACCGGCGGTGGAACATGGTGAAGAAAAGGAGAAGTATTTGAGGTTGTTGTTGATACTGCATCATGAATTTGTGTTCCATGAGTTGAAGATGGTGTATGAGTGTAATGAGATGATGTAGTTGTGCTAACTGCTGATGTTGGTAAATGGGATTGTAATGGATTATTTGCATATATTGGTGATTGACCAGTTTGCATTGGTATAGTACTTTGTTGTGAATTTGCTGCTTGTAAGGCAGCAAGTTGTTGTAACACAGCATTTGGTTGAGAGTTTAAACCTACGAAAAAGAGAAAACGTACGATAAGACATAATTACTTTTTAACAGCTATATAGTTTAAGGATCTATAGATTCAATAAAAAAAGTAAAATCTGTCGTTAGTAAAGCAAGCAAGTAATTTATGCAGAAAATCAAAGCAGTCGTTCGCTATAGAGACCTTCTTAAGATCTTAAAAAGCCAAGGCAAAACAATTGTTTTTTTCCAAATATTTTAATGCCGAACTATCATTGAAAAGATTTGAATTCCTTTTTTATGAGATATTGTAAAAGATTAACTGTTCGACTTATACACGTTAAGGAATATTTAAATAGCAAAAACCCATGTCAAATTGGAACAGGTTAATCTCCATCGAAAACAAACAGTTAAAAATTCAATTAAACAAACAATTTTTTCGATTTATCTTATATTAAAATGCGAATTTATTACTCCAATTTGTATCATATTGCGTTGTTTTAAACAGAAAGCAAAAATCACAGCGCAAGTACGCTTTGAAATATTATGGATCATGATAATAGTTGATTATTTACTTCAAGGTGCTCTCAAATGTAGGTTCAAAAAGATCTCTGTGCAAAGGTTGATATGAATGAATTTTATCTAATGATAATCGATCAGCCTCAAAAATAGTTTGATATTTTTCTGCAAAAACAAGACAAAAAAGAGCCAGTCATTTTAAGAATAACTATATGTACTGGCAGACATACGAATTTGGTTGTTATTTTTCGCTTGAAAAAAATTTAATTACACATTTAAACATATTCTGTATTCTAATTTTCAGGTACAATACCTACCCTGACTTGCTAATTGTGCTAACACATTTGGTGGTAAATTTGATTGCAATAAAGACAACACAAGGTTTGCTGGTGCTAGATTAGCACCATTAACATTTGTAGAATTATTTGTTACTGCTGATGGAATATTATTTTGAATGGGCTGGCTTAGTTTTTGTGTTTTGTTGACAGCATCAAGAAAGGATGTTATTGTTTCTGTTTGTTGATGATGATGGTGACGGAGATTATCATTTGATGTTTCATCGATATCTTGTGTGAATTGTTGATTTGTTGAAGAAGATGATGATGGAATAGAGCCGGATGATTGTTGATTTAAAGTTGATGGTGTTTGACTTTGTTTTCCATTCGCTGATGATGTCGGCATTGTTTTGCTACGAGCTGCTGCAATCACATTTTGCATCTCACTTTTACTACTTAAAAATAATTTGACCGATTGATTACATATTTGTCCACCATCTTTTTGCATTGCTTGTCGAGCATCGTCATCGGATTGAAATGCAATAAATGCATCGCCTCTATCACCTCCAACTAGAAATAAATAAAACGCACATAAAAAAAAAGATGCTTTGTTTTGCACGTTTTTGTTCTATTACCGATATGAACACCACCATCGGGAATTTGTAATCCAACAAAATATTTTCGAATATCTTGAGAACGTGCTTCCCATGCAAGATTTTGTAAACGAATTATAAATGACATTTAATTAATTTTATAAATACTAAAATCGAAAGAAAAGAAAAATGTCTATTATTTTTCTCGTTTTGTTTTAAATAGCTATGAAGTACAGATATAATTACTTAGAGGAAAAATAAAGATAATTGTATTTTTTAAGTATACTAATGAATTCAGTCAATGTCAAACATTGCCAAGAATGTACTAACATGATCAAGAATCTTTTAGGTAAAATAACCAATTATACTAAGAGATAAACACGTTCAATAAATGTGATATCATTTTATTCAAGGAATCTAATATACATGTAAAACAATAAATTTCTGAATGTGAACAACAAACACACATTTATATCACTTCAACAAAATACTTCACTGGTCTTTTCTTTCATAGATCAGATTTTTATTCTTGACTTTATTCAAGTCGTGCGACATTAAAAAATATTATCATTGCGTAAAAAATATTATTATTGCGTCAAAATAATTTCAAATGAAATACCAGTGTGCACGATATTAGGTGACCCCAAGTACACATGTTCAGTCAATTAGTCAATTTTGACCATTTTGTTAATCAACGAACGTTAATAGCAGTTCAGATGATTAAAACTCCTCAACGAGTTGTGCAGCGTTGAAAAGTATGCTACAAAGAATTTTTAGCCGTAAAGGAAAAAATCTGATCATACATACACAGAATAAAGTGTGTTTAAAAAAAATAGTCAATGTAAGCAAGAACCTTTCTTTCTGGCCACCATTGAACTTGTAGAGTAACTTCAAAATTTAATATTTTTTGACCCAGTTTTCTGAGCCGAGCTGTTTAGGTTTAACCCTGATCCGCCCATCTATAATATGCCCAAATTCTATCGGTTTCATCTGGATACTGCCTGAACACAACGGTTAGATTTTACCGCTTTACTTTATATTCCACTGAATGACAATAGGGTGTACTATCAATATGAACAGATTGCATCCACTCATTATTTATCCGGCAGAGCAGCAAGACATATCTTTAAAGCACTCGTTTTCGTCTGGGGTCCGCACGAACCCCACGTGGATCAGGGTTAAAGCCTGACCGGAGATATATGGTTGATCGGAGTGGGTATTCGAACGTCAATGATCAATCATTGACTGTATGGTGCCGAAAGTCACTTCCATATAATAATTTCCAGTATCTGTCATTAAAATAATGTTTTACACTTTGAAGAATGGCAGAAAATATATTTTAAAATATTCAAGAGAATATCTAAAATAAGTCCAAAATGTTTTTGTGTAAGAATACAAAGATCTGCTTAAAGATCATGATCTTAAACGGCGACGTGGAAGAGATTTTAAGTATACCAACTTGAAATAAACGAGTTACCATGATGCCGATGCTTTTTGACCTATTGTGATCTAATGGTCTTATGAAGACATCATCTAACCTATGCTACGAAAGTCTTGGAATTGAAACTCATATGCCTTTATTAAGAAAAAACTTTTTTCAAATCAAAACATGAGTTTTGAACTCGATATTTTCTAAGCTTTTCAAACATTTTTTTGAAATTTTACAGAATATTTTGTTTCGGAGCTACGGATGTTTTTTCTGTCGTATTTCAAAATATCACTTATACACAGGATAAAAGGATATTTTTCTAAGTTGTGCTATATTCAATATTTTTGATAATAAATGTTTATTTGTGTGCCATATTCTAGAGCAAACTATTCTCTATAAACTGGTGTGTTGCACGGCCTCGTGTGATTTGAGAAAAGGACGCTATAGGTGTTCTGTGAGAAATCCCATTCCATGTAAAACGCGAAATTAACAAGAACGGAATTTTGAAAAAATGAAGCTTTTTGTAGGTGTATGATTTCTTTTCGAAAATTTGTATAAGATCGTACAATATGTCATTTTGTAGAGAACGTTTTGCTCTACAACTTTGTATTTCAATAAAAAAAATTTAAGCTAATCTGCTCCAGTTACATTAAACATTTTCAAGTTTCAATTTCAAGACTTTTGCATCATAGATTATCTACTCTCATAGAATGAAGCGCATTAGACAAGTTTCTCGGTTCCAAATTTCGAATTTTTTCTGATTAAACTTGTGCCATAAGAGGTTTTCGTATGAATCCAGATAGTGCAGCTTTTTGTACTGTCCTCTGTGAACTAAATTGAACTTGTCGTTGTAAATTCTAAAAAAGTACTAAACGTCTATTCAATTTCTTTTTATCACCAGATTTGGATTCGTCATCATATTTTACATAGAACGAGATCATTTGAAAGCTAATATCTTTATATAAATATCAGAGAGAAAGATTATTAAACAAATTTAACAGAAGAACTTTTATGAAGTTGTAAAAGAACACTTATATTCAATTATCTGTCCTTTATCGTACATTTGGATTCTGGAGACTTAGCTTATGGAAGTATTGAAAATTCGAGTTCAAAATTAAGAAAATCCAATGATCCAAAAATGTTTAGGATGTAATAGTTTTAGTCAAAAAAGTCAAAAAAATTGGATACCGAGAAACTCATTTAATGTTCATCATTCATTTCGCGTTGATCGGTGATAGTCTTGTAAACATCCTATGAAATATTCTCCGTTTTGTTGTTAGCTTCAAACCTCTTCACTTCATAATAACAGAATGAACAAATAATTGTTAATGTACGTTCATTTTGAATTTTCTCTATTACTTAATCAGTTATGCATACATAAAAACGAACAAATATATATAACTTCTCACAATGCACTGAAATTTATCATTTTTGTTTTTACTTTCAAAGCAAAATGACTTTTTCTCACGGGAAAGGGAAACATTATCGTTCGGCTAACAAATTTGAACACGTAAAAAGATATTTAATCTGTATCGAGAATCGTTTTTGTATCTGGAATACAAAAGAGAGGTGTGAATAAGATTAAAAGTCTTTAACATGCATGCCTTCTAAGATAACTAGTCCATATAATAATGACTTCATGGTTTCGTTACGTCAGTTTGTGAAACGTTGCTCTTTTCAGTCCATTTTTTACGTCAATAATGAATGCTCGCTATCCTTCTGTTCACTATCTTAAAGATAAACTTTGCTCAGTGATAACAGACATATTTCTCACTAGATACTAAACTCCGCATTAGATGAATTATTTTATATTAAACTATTCAAAGATCAATACCACGAAAAAAATTTTTAATAAGCGAAACAGACAACAAATATTCGTTGTTTTCATTTTTTTTTTTTTGTCACAATACATTCGAGAAGATTTCCTCATTATTCTAAATTCGATATAAACTGTACATGTTCACTACAGAACATGAGCAGTGTATACTGAAATATTTGTTGTTTTGATCGTCAACTCTATACAGAACGAGTTGATCTAACAAATATATTATATCATATAACAGTAATCGAAAGTCTTTTTATGTTCAATATACCACACGAAAAATTCAAACACAGCAATAGAAAACGTGGTGATTGTACACACTGCTATGTAGACGTCGGGGAAAAGCAATCACTCCATTTCATAATAGAACAGGATCGAATAATTTTCCAATAACATCGGAAAGATGAGGGACAAATACCTGAAATTGTGGTTCAAGTATCAATAGGCATGCACCAGTTATATAACTGGCGTTAGGACATTCAGGAAAATTATTATAACGTGGTTATAAGAATCGCTCAGACTTGCGGAACGTCCCGTTTTGTACACAAATGTTTGTTCTATGCATTTATTGAAACAAAACAAGTTTAAAATTGTGACAAAAATATGAGCATTCTTAAATGCCATAACTGTACGTGATAACTGGTCACCAGTTACATAACTGTTCGTGCCTCTTCAGTAATTCGTTAAAAACATTTCTCTCTTTCAAGCTTTAATTTTGTCTTTCATACAAATACATAGACTAAAAATTTGTCTACAAAATGAGGCGCTTCGCATGTCTGACCGATTCTTAATACTCGTGTTATAACAACTTTCTAGGATGCCCCAAAAAACTGTTGAAAATAACTGATCCGTAACTGGTGCACACCTAAATATCAATGTGCCTGTATCTTGTGTTAATGTCTGTTTTATGATGAAAGTGAAAAAGTCTAATAAAAATATGTTGTAGTGGAAATATCACATTGTAGTCTATTTATCTAAACAACACAATACACTCAGGTTGTGTCAGAAACTGAACGTTTTTTTCAAGACAAAGTTCACTTGGCTCTCTATAAAACATTTTTTTTTGGATAGCATTTAGTAGGTTTTTCTACTACGTACATGTAGCTAATATATATACGTCAACTTGTTCTGGAAATATACATGAAATATTTTGAAAATCGTTTTTCAATTTTTGACAATATTGTTATATGAATCAATGATGAATAGATGTTTTAGATAAATTAACTACAATTTTCTCTACAATAGGTTTTTATTAGACTTTCTCATTTTTATCATAAAATAGACATTATCACGAGATGTTGATATCACCTGTTGGTGATACTTGACCGCAATCCTTCTATCAATCGATCAAATTGAATCCTGTCTAGAAAATTTAAAAGATTTCGAATATTTATTCTTCTTCTTTCCAATATTATTGGACAATTATTTGGCCTACTTCTATTATGAACCAGAGAGCAGAGTAGAGTTATATTTGAGCTTTCGATTCAATTCAATACGAGATATCGTAGAAGCGCGCAATAGTTTGTGATAGTTTCTCTATGTTTTATCGGGAACAAAGTTTTCTCACTCACATCAGTTTTGTCAAAAAGTTTTGAAATAATTCGCATTAGAAGCTAGAAAGAGAAGGAAACATTCCATAGTCTATCTGCCTTCTTCTTAATATAAGAAGAAAATCAATAAAAGGCGAACATCTATCCCTCTCTCACAGTAGAAAACTTTCATCTCGCTTACTTATACTTGGCTTATTTGTGGTAAAATATAGATTAGGGGAACTGACAATAGTGCAGACCTTGTCTTTTTCATAACATACAAATCATAACGCTTTCTAGCACAATATTCAATGATGGCTATTCAACAAATTTGTTGCCTGTTAGCTTCATCTTGTTGATGGATCCCA